AACCACCCCTACCGGCAGGAAGGTCAGGGGCCACCCTCTCTCGTTTGCCGTGAGGATCACGCAGCCGTGATGGTTACCTCTGGCCTCCGACATCTTCGTTTGAGTGCAAACCTGAACATCCCAATATTGGCCATTGATCATGTTGGAAGAACCAATGAACAATCATAGCATTGAGCCAAAGTATTTTTTTTTTAATTTTTCACAAAGAGCTCTAGAAGGCAAGTAGTAGTTTATCACGTCCTCTCTGGAAATGACACAGCATGACAGACAGGGTAGGGCGCTGGGATGCCGGCTCTTCATCATTGTCCAGAGTCCCCGCAGTGGCCCAGGGACCCCACAGCAAGGCCATGCGGTGTGTCCTCTGCAAGTGTGGTCGCTCTGCCCACACTCAGCAGCACCAGCACTACTGAGGTCACGATCGTCTGTCCAGAAGATTCCACCTCAGATCCCAAGATCCAGACCGGGATCCAGGTGGGGTTTGATGGCCAGAGGCAGAGAACAGGTGCCACGGCTGGAGGCAGAGCCTCTGACACTGCAAAGGTCAGAATTCTTGACTCAAGACTAAAGGGGAGGCGGGAAGAATGATGAGGTCAAGGAAACCCTGGGTTGCTGAAGAGACAACTTTTTAAAGGAATGCTGGGTCTGCAGTTCGCAATGTTCACAACAAAAGAACGTCGCTTGGGATTCCAGACCTGAGCAGGGAGAGGCAATGGCTGGGCTAAGAGAGTCAGAACTTTCTTCACAGTAGAACAGCCCTAAGCTAAAATTCTAGAATTTAAGACCAATGTCTTTTAAGAATGGGAATTCAGAAACCTATCAGACCAGCTGATGGAGGCAAAAAAAAAAAAATGTTCTCTATTAAACAAAACCACACAAACAACTCAGTCCTCCTCCACTCCCAATACCCCAGCCACCTCCCACCCCATTAAAAAGTATTATGAACGTTACACACACTCGAACACACTAAAATACACAAACAAAATACAAGACACCCAAGGAACCTTCGGGATCACCTAAGGAGTTTTCACAAGCTCTCCAGGTGCTCTTCCTGTTTTGTTTCTAGAAAAAAAGAGTCAAGCTCTGATGGTTTGTCTAAGCAGTAAAAACTGGAGTCAGCCTCAGTTTCCTGGCTTATTAGTCTATGTAGAGGAATATCAGCGGTAATTCAAGAAGGGAGGCCAAGACTGGTGTTCTATGGAAGGCGAGCTGCCTTGTCCTGCAGCCGGGCCCTCACCAGGGAGCACTCAGCTGTCACACGCAGCAGCCCCGCCAATGGGTTCTGCTCGAACATCAGGACACTGAGTGTGCGCACAGAATGCTGGGAAGGCTACTCCAGAGGCAAAGCTCTACTGTTTGCGGCACCAGAACATAAACCTGAAGCAAACCGTCAAGGGACAGCCGAGGATCACAGACGGGGAGCTGGAAGAGATGATGCAGTCCAACTCCGCCTTCGACAGAAAATCCATCTATGGAGAAAGCAGAGGTTGTCTGTCCAGATCCTGACTCCACCTGAAGCTTCCCTGGTGGTTGGCCTCAATCAGTTGATCAGTCCGTTGTTTCTGACCAATGTCCCTCACCTGGATCATTTGTTTCCGGACGGTTAGAATCTCCCACTTGGCATAAGTCTGTCTGGGAAATGCAGGAGGACCAGACGATTGAACCGATGTGTCTACACTGACCGCTCCCCAGGGTGCCATTGTGTTTAGTCTTCAAACACGATAAAGTTCAAAATATCTGTTTCTCTGCCTTATCACACAGATATCCCGCCCCCCCCCCCCCACTTTGTAAAATAAATAATTCAAACTAGACTGAAACTTGGGCAAGGACAGTTGCTGCCTCTTAACAGTAACTCATGAAACTCACACCTGCAATTCATTCCCATGCAGGGGTGGAGGGGAGCATCTGACGTGCTGAAACCCTGGGGCAGAAGTCAGAACCAGCCCTCCCCCCTTATATATTAAATTTATCTTCATAAATAGAGCATCTTAATTCCAATGACCACGATAAAAAGGCCAAAGTTTGAGTTCTTTTTTCCTCAAATAGTTACACAAACCCCCAAATATCTACTAAGCTACCCACATGGCCCACTGGAGCCTCATTACGAGAGCTCCGGCTGCCACGATAGTCAAAGGCCAAGGCTCAGACAGACCCAACACCCATCCCTGTTGGACAGCGAGGACTCGGATAGAAAATTCACTTTGCAATAAGGCTCATGACAATTCCTTTCAACAAAAAAGCCCAATTTGATTTTAAACTATTTGATCCCCCCCAAAACTTGTTACCTACACAAGTTTTTAAGGTCACATCTATGACATGAAATGGGCTCACTAGACCAATAGACATGGCCTCAGTGGGCGTGGCAAGGTTGCCCACCCATTCACTGATGTGACACTGTGGTGATCCCCTTCCTCTTGGACAAGTCTCTGAGCCATACTTTCAACCTTAATGTGAGAACCAGTATCAATGGATAATTAACTAAAGGACTAGGCGTCTACATTAAAGTTTATCTTAATGGGTGCAATAAAGCCTACCTTCTAGCCATCCTAGGAAATTTGGGTTTTAATTTTCTAATTTCTCCTCCCCTCTCAAAAACGTATTAATTTGGATCAATCACTTGGGTTAGATGACTGTGACCATAGGAAGAAGCCGGGGCAAACAGATGGACAGCCCGTCAGAGAAACCAAAGGGTGGTGAATGCCGTCCGGGTGGAGCCTTCATAGCTCGTCCCTCGAAGGCGCGGTGTCCAGGGAGGTTGGCGGTGGCAGGGCCTCTGTGTTCTTGGCATTGTGGTGGATGTGGCCTTGCTTCTGGGACTTCCAGGAATGTGTCCTGTCCCAGTCAGTGGCCACTGTCTCATTGTCCCAGATGGTCGAGGTCTCCGTGTCACTCAGGTACCCCGGCTGGCCTGTGTAGTGTGTGGGGTAGATGAGCAAGGGTTCTGCGGAGAAGGCTTTCAAGTCCCTGGATTTGTAATGCTCCTTGTACTCAGCTCTGAAAACAAGAGGGGCACAGGCATGAGGGGGCAGAGCGCTTACAGAACAGGGGGAGAGGGAGAGGGGCCCTGCTTGTTACCTCTTCAATGGTCAGGGACTCATCTGATTATCTTTTAAGTTGTGTCCTTTGTGGAAAACTTTAGTCTATAAATACAATAAAGGTTCTTTAGAAGCTTTCAGATGAGCTAAGCAAATACATAGACAAAGTCAGGATATTTCTGTTGTATTTGGATAGACTGGTTTAAAATGAATTTCAGCTCTTACTCTGAAAGTTAAGAATTAAGCTCTGTGTGGGACCGTAATAATACATAAATGTGATCACTCTGTAGAAAATGCCCTGTTGCTCGATTAATACATTAGCAGCAGGATCTGGACAGCAGCGAAGGAGTGAGTGAACTAGCGTAGGCTTGGAGGCAGGCCAACGTGGCTTTGTATTGCAGATCCCTGTGAGTGTAAAGTGGAGAGATGACTTGACCTCCCTCCCAGGGCTCTGGTGCAGATTATGTGAGGTGACATCTGCTCGGCTCCTACGTCAGTGAGTGCCCCATAGGTGTGCATTTCCTTTCTGTTAAGGGGATGATGGCTGACCTCCCTGTTTCTTCAGGATTCAGAGATAAAGTGAGTCTCTAATACGTTGTGTAAAAGAGGGCAAGGAGATAAAATGAAGATGGAGGTCAGGAACTCTTAACTGCTAAAATGAAGACCATCTCCGTGAGGAGATAACCCAGCAACTGAGAGAAGGAGCTAAGGTTAGAACCTGGTCTCCTGCTCCATTAAGGAATTTAGGAATCATTGACAGAACAGCAAATATGTATAGAGTTTGGCCGAGGCTCTAAAGACACAGAGATGTAAGACTGTGCCTACCTGAGGGGCTCACAGGTTATTGGGGAGACTGACAAGTAAACCATCAATTACCAAACCCTTTGGTAAGGGTTGGTCAGAGCCAACTCCTGGGCTACAGAATCCCTGAGCATCACGCTTCCTTCTCCCATGGATCCACCCCAGAGGCCACCTGCCTTTCCCTGATTCTCTAACACACCTCCATGATCACAGGTAGCACAGTATATCATGATGATGTTCATGGGCCTGTGCTCTCGACTAGGCTGTGAGCCACTGCCTGGCCAACAGGACCCACAACGGACTGAGAAATGAGTTGAAAATTTTGAGATGCTTAGGAAGATGACCTTCACCTTGAGGTGTATGAGTTCATGGAAGTAAGGAGATCAAAGACAAGGAGAGGACAGAGCAGATTATGTCCATTTAAATTACACATTGGATATTAAAGGGAACCCCTATGCAAGACACCATTTCTGCTTCACCTTCCCCATAAGGGGATAATCACTCGAGTCAATCTCCCTAGGTCGTGATTATGGAAAGATCACCTAGGAAAGCAGTGCACCGTTAGAAAGTACCAAGCACTGCCCAGAAACTGAGTAGGCTGGCTCACGAATGCACTGTGCTCACGGGACGGGCAGGGAGTTCAGGGCAACTCACACAGGATGCTTGTTGTACATGATTGGCAGGAACTCGTCCACTGGCAGCATCTTCCCAAAAGGATCAGCTCCAACCAGCTTCTGTGCTCCTTCCAGAGAGAGGGCGTAGCCCAGCGTCCAGTAGGAGTAGTCGGCTTCAACCAGGTTGACCACGTTGGGCACCGCCTTCTCCGGCTCTTTTACTTGCATCCTCTTCCTACCAATATAACTAAAAGGAAGTGGGCAGAGGAGAAAATTCCAATTGGAATGCCAGACATCCATAGGAATGGGACACGGCTTTGTGGACACTTTTGAAAGCTTGCACCCACTGTGTCGTATATTAAATGCATCAGGCCGCATAGCACGTCACATCTGTCACCAACTGTGACTGTCACCTGCCATCAGTGGGGCCATTTCCCTGGCTCCATTTATCAGCATCCCATCTACTCTTGTCTAGGAGACAGTGTTTAAGCCAGAAAGTTAAGATGTAAAGAGATGAAAGGTCTTTTCAGATCATTCCCAAAGGTGGTATGGGATTTCCAGCTGTGTTTACAGGGGTTGGCAGGGGACACAAAAGGCCAGATGTGAGAATCCTGAGTTTGTTATGTTCAAGTCCCCCGAGTTTCAGCCTGCTGTGTTGTCTGCAAGCGCTCCAAATGCTGGTGGTGAACACAGGACAGAACCGGCTGTGGGAAAGAAGCAGTCTGCAGGAGTGGCCCCCGGAAGGCTCTTCCTGGGGAGGATGATGCCAGCGCCTCACACGCCCCTAGCTCTGCCCACACTTCCCCCTGCGTGCTCTGCTCTGAGAAAGGCACCGAAGCAGGTCCTGTTCTCCATGAGCATCTTAGCAGCTGCTGTCTGACCAGGAGCCGTCTCTCAATTACAGTGCTGACTGCTGGGTCTATTTCCCACGGGTCAGTGGAGCCATTGCTAGGCTGCTCTTGAGCTCAGAAGGGTGCCTTTTCTGAGAGAACAAGTATTCCGCCTGGGCCCATAGCTGGCTTTCCCTCCAAGGATGGGAGGGGCGGGGACAGCCTGTCTGAAGCAGGTGCTCCAAAGGGACAGGCTCTGATGGGATGGGATTGCCTGTGACACACAGCTGGGGGGAGAACGCAGGGCTTGGGAACTTTCTGCCTCATGGAGAAAAGAGAAGTGTCATTTGGGTTTAACAAAAAAATGAGAGAGAGAGGGGATGAGGCAGTAGAGAGGGAGGGAGAGAGGAAGGAAGGGAGAGAGGGAGAGGGAGAGAGAGAGAGAGAGAGAGAGAGAGAGAGAGAGAGAGAGAGAGAGAGAACTTAATTCCAAGAGGGGGCAGACAATGAGCATTAACCCATTGTTAACTCATTAATGTCAGTTCAGAGCCACCAGTCCCTTGGTGAGCCTGGTTTTCCTGCAATAGCCTCTGACCCTCCACCAAACCCGGCTGTCAGTATTCTCCCTGCTGCACAGCTTCCTCTCCCAACAGAGATGCCCTCCCCTTGCTCAGTCTCCCACACCCACGGAGGGAACCTGCTCTATGGGAGCCGAGGTCCAATGTGACCCAGGACTCTTGCCCTGGAATAAACCCCCTCCATGGGCCACGTGCTTCGAGGGCGGGGTGTCTGCTGTGCTCCCGAGTGAGTGCTCTGTCTGTAGGCCCCTGATCTGCAGGCTGACCCAGGTCTCAGAAAGAATCTCTCGCAGTTTCTTCCTCACCCTACAGAGTACACACATGCAGAACCAGTGGCTATCCTCTGCTCATTTCTTTGGTTTCTGGTAATGTTTATGGAGAGAAAATCAGTGGAAGCTTGGGGTGTATCTCCTACCAGGGGGAGGTGGGGCTCGCTGCCCCTGGAAAGGACCCAGTGCCTCTCGGAGCTCTCTGATAAGGCTGTCTTGTCACTCACATCAGTTCCCAATCCAGCTGAGCCTGGTCAATGTCATCCATCAGTTTCATCAGCTTCTTCTTAAACTGATGTTCAAAACGCACATCATCCTCAATAACAAGAGTCTTCTCCAGCTCTCGGTCAATTACCTGCGAAGGTCATCAGTGGGAAGACACTCTGAAATGATCAATACTTATTTTTTAAAAATATATATATTTTATTGATTTTTTACAGAGAAGGGAGAGGGATAGAGAGTTAGAAACATCGATGAGAGAGAAACATTGATCAGCTGCCTCCTGCACACCCCCTACTGGGGATGTGCCCGCAACCAAGGTACATGCCCTTGACCCGAATCGAACCTGGGACCCTTCAGTCTGCAGGCCGATGCTCTATCCACTGAGCCAAACCGGTTAGGGCGATACTTATTTTTTTTTATTAGACAAATCAGTATTAAAACGTAAGGAGTTTAGTAGCATATGTAAAAGCTCATAATTGGGTTCTAAGTCAACAGTAGAATGAATCAATAGACTGTGGTATATTTATAACAATAAGAATGTATGATCTACAATCAAATTAAATGTTCTAGATGAATCTCACAAACATAAGGTTGAGAGATGGGACATACCCTATGGTTCCATTCATATATTTTTTTTAAAAAGTACAGAAGAAGACAAAACTACTCTTGCTGTCGTTAAAAGTCAGGACGGTGATTACCGGGGGGACAGTGACTAGAAGGAAATGTAGAGGGGGTGGATCTGTGGGCTGGCAATCTGTTCGGGATCTGGGTGCTGGTTAACGTGGGTGCATTGTTCAGTCCGTGAAATTTCAGTGGGTCGTGTTTTACAATCTACATATTTTTATACATTTCTCTTATGTTTTATTTAAAGTTTAAAGAAAAAAAAAAAGATAGGCCTAGACTGGATCATTCAAAGAGAGAAGGCATTCAAGGGGCTTTTCTTTAGAGCCTTTTCCTTTTCTTGTGAGAACTGAACCTTGATCAAGAACCCCACACTCCAATACCACCCTCATCGTCTCATCTGTAAGATATGGGTTCAAGTCCTAGCTCTGCCACTTCTTGCTTAGACAACATATTTATTTCCTCTTGGATAAAATGGGCCCATCCCTCCTGCCCCACCACATGTGACTTCTGTGGGTCTTCTTATATGAAGTCACTTACAAAATGATGACATGCTAGACACATGCAAGGCGTCCCTACTAAGGATGAGAATGCATCTGTAGGAGTGTGGCCCTAAGAACATGGGCGTCTTCCCCTGTCATTGTCCCAAGGGTCCCAAGGTTACCCCTCCTTGTCTGTGGCTGGCCTTGCGTCAGAGGAAGATACGGAGCAACTGCAACTTTCAAGTGTACTTCCAGAACAGGGAGGGGCTCACCTTACACCTGGCCCTCATTCACCCACCAAGTCCCACTCTCCCTCCTCCTCATTACAAAATGCACATGTACATAAAGCATCATTTACCTCTTTCCAGACAGAGTAGTGGCTAAGGAAGCAGCCGATTTCACCCCTGGTCAGAGGCCTGGAGGAGTAGGGGTCTCGATACCCAGGCAGCATGTCAATGTTCAGGGCCTTCAGCTGGCTGGTGTTGAGTGCCCTGCGTGACAGAGAACACATATGAAAACGAACAAGGAGAGATGTCCCCACCACGGAAGCCAGAAAGAGAGTTCTGTGTGTCCCCCAGAGCCTTCACACACCCTGAGAAAAACATCCCAGGTTTCCCATAACTCCTTAGGAGCTCCCGGGGTCACGTGTCCTGGGGGGTCTTATGAGCTTTGTGGAGAGCAGAGGGTGTCTTGTAGTTGGTGTATCCCTCATAATGCCCAACATAGATAAGTATTATCACTTTTTTGACAACTTCGAAAAGTATTTTCCTCATGAAGGAAAGTGGCAAATAGGAACATTAAGTCCCCTTCCCAGCCCCTCAGGATTCTGCTGTGGGTGTCCTGGCCACACTTCAAGAAACACTGATGGGATTCTCTAAAGGAGTCATAAGAACTCTCACTACAGCTTCTAACCATCCTCCTTAGAGGCATGCAGATAACATTGAAACTGCAGTTTTTGCAAAATCCATGCCTTGAAGGAGGGTGTCAAATAAAAGGTCAAAGCAAAGCAAAGCAAAGCAAAAGAAAATAACAACAGCAATAACAAACCCCCCTGAAGGGAGCTAACATGTAGCCCATGTGACTTGCCTGCCATTCTCGGCAAAGCGATCAGCCCAGACCGACTGAGGCCAGCATCTCATGCAACAGCATCACAGACTATTATGAACTTTTTCCATTCATTTTCATTGGGTCGCCCAAGTTTTTTTTTTTTTTAGTTTTTTTAAAAATATATTTTATTGATTTTTTACAGAGAGGAAGGGAGAGGGATAGAGAGCTAGAAACATCGATGAAAGAGGAACATCGATCAGCTGCCTCCTGCACATCTCCTCCTGGGGATGTGCCCGCAACCCAGGTACATGCCCTCGACCGGAATCGAACCCGGGACCCTTCAGTCCGCAGGCCGACGCTCTATCCACTGAGCCAAACCGGTTTCGGCAGGGTCGCCCAAGTTTACTAGTAGACACTTTGCTCAAAATCAGGCTCTGAATGTAACTCTGAATGCATTCTTTCCAATACACTGCAGGAAGCTGGGAACCATCCCAACCACTGCAAGAACCCCAGAGACGGGAACATCACTTCCGGCATGAGCCTTCAGCGTCATGAAGACCAGAGATGGCTGGACGGTGAGTGGACTGTGGTCCAGATCTACATGGTGAAATTAACTTCTGTGCTACTATGAGTCATAATGTCTCCCCAGGTAGGCTGCACGGGGCTGTTATAAAAATGTGTCTATATTCCGATGACCATAGATTCTCCTCACCCAGAACTACTCCATCAGATAGGACATATCCCCACTCCAACCCCATCTGCAAAGGTTCAAGAGAAACCCAACTCACTTTCCATCCACAGCCTCCACAATCTTGACCTCAATCTCCTGCTCATACAGGGTGCGTAGCATCCGGTCCCGCCGGTCCTTCCTGCGTTTGAGATTTATCATGAAAATCTAACGCAGGGAGAAAAGGAGAAGGAAACACAGATGACTCAAGTCTTCTTTTAGGCTGTTTGAGAATTTAAGTAAATGTAGCATCAACATTTTAAAGTTTCAGTTGGGATAGGGAGTGGAAACTGGAGATTAGTTTATGTTTCATATCAGGTCAAATGACATGAATCCAGATGGACTTACTTTAAAAACTGAGTCAATTGTGGTGACTTAACCCTCCCTGTTTCTCTGATGTTCATTGGTGAACACCTCCACCTTGTTTTTGAGACAGGAAAGTTGAAAAAGTTGCTCTCCGCGAGGCTAATGGTGACTTAAATCTAGGCATAGGCACTAAGGGGCAGGAGGCAGCTTGGCAAGTGGTTAAATTCGTCAGCAGACCTGAGTTCCCATCCTGTTATTTATTAGTGTTTGCCTCAGATCAGTTCCTCTGCCTCAGTTTCCTCATCTGTAAAGCTAGGATAATAATGGTCCTGTCTCATGGGTACTAAGTACCAGCTATTATTATAATGTATATCCTCTGTCTAAATTTAAAGTCAAAGAATAAGAAAAATCTAGTCTTAACACAATCCTTTTATTTCCAAAGGTTCCAAACGTAATGATCAAGGTCTCAATTTTAGTAGCTTCTGTGTCAAAATTCAACTTCCTTGAAGATAAGGGCATTTTTCTGAAGGAGGTAAAGGAAGGAGCCATGGCCTCAGGGGCAGCCCTTTGAGGAAGAGAGAAGGGAGTGATGGAAAGAAAGGCTTAAGTGAAGGCTTAAATGAAACTCTCAATTTCCATGTAGATCTGTGGGAAAAGGTATAGAGAGGACTCCTACTGGTCCCAAAGAAGGTGCACTCAGATCATCCCCTACGAGGGCTGGGTCCACCTGTGCACCCACGTTATCCCTACATTCCTGATGGCTGCACTAGACACATACGTATTACCAGGCCACGACAGGAAGTTACAGATAATGACGCTGTCCTAACTATTCCCATGTTTAAGGGGCCACAGAAGGACCTAAAGCCTCATGAATGCTATTATAGGTAAATTAATATATTAACAAAGTCTCTCCTATGGGCAGTAATAAACCCACTTAGTCCTCAAAGTGAGGGAGACTTCAGCTGCCAGCAAGAAATGATTGACACATAGCATGGAAAAGGAGAAACCTACAGGAGTCGGATGATGCTGGCTACCTCTTTAACCATCGAGGTGATATTTCATGTTACAGGGTCCAGACACTTGTTTGTAAAAAGAGGGAGTTGAACAAACTCATCTCTCAGTACAGAGGAAAACGTCTATGATCCACGCTTTATAACGGGTTGCTTTATGCTATGTCCGGAATAAAGAAGTAACTATAACCAGCCTGCAGTTCAGACTAGATTGGGTAAAACTTTGGTTCATATGGTCATTCTGAGTGTGTTTATCGATGTTAGATGATTTATTGGGATAAAAAGCTACACTAACTAAAACTGCAACTCTTCCTTACAAAATATTCTCATTTCCATCCATGTATAAAGCTCTGGGCAAAGAAAGTGAGGGCAGGGGGCAAGATGACCTCTTTAAAAAATCATCCACTTGATTTAGGGCGAAGTGTGTCAGGCACGTCATGATTTCATCACCTCCTTTGTTTACCTAACTAGGTAATTATTTAAAAAAAACACAATTTCTATAGTGACCATTTGCCTTGTGACTGGTGATTTTACAACTTGATGGGTGGTGTTCTTTCATATTTCATTTTCTTCCTGGGTAGTAGACTCATACTGTGATGGGCCATATTCCACACCTTCATTTTACAGATATGGGAAGGGCATTGCTTGTGGCACACAAGGAGCTACCTGGGGTCACTCCAGGAGAGCAAACCACAAAACAAAAACTGAACAGAAACACAACAAAAAAGTCCCCTCACACCAAAGACCTCTGGCCTGGGATGACTTCAGGAAATAACAAGCCTGTCCCAGTTCCTACCAGGACAAGTGCAATAAAAACTGCAGCCACGAAGGAAAAACACAGACAGCTCGCTCATACTTAGTGCACGGTAAACAGAGAAAGAGCCACACGGCCAAATGCAACCCAGACACCACCACCGAGGTCGGAGAGTCCTGGGAGGGGTTGGAAAGGCCCAGAAAATCTTTTTTTCCACCATCCTAGTCAGGACAGAGAGAAGATTACCCTGGGCCCAGGAGAGTGGAGTCCCTGAGGCTGTGTCACTTCCTGGAGGGGGCCCTTTTCAGAAGGCAACTACGAGTGACCCAGTCGTCACACCCACATCCAAATGCAAGACCAGAGCTAGAAGATCCTGTTCCTGTCCCGTGTATTTGCTTCTGTTTGATCCTTAAGGGAATGTGTTTATAGAAGGAAGATGACATACGTGAAGACACAGGCTCTTTTACCTGGAGAGCCAGGAGCTCCAGGGGAGGAAAGCTACAGTGACACACGGGAGCCCGTTCAATGCACGGTGCAGACCAACATTCTCTGCAGCCTGATGGTTTTTAAAGCCATTTATACTTCAAGACCTCTCTCCCATGCTTCCAATCATCTCTCCTCATTCAGCCCTCTGTGGAAATTGCTCAGTAGTGCTCTTTCCCACTTGATAAGTCATGAAAGACTTCTTCCCATCCCAGAAGTTCATCCCCAAGTCAATTTTATAGACAGAAGCCCATTTCCCAGTGCCAGCAGCTCTTTACATGGCTGTACTTAGGGAACATGCATTGTATGATACCAGGTGATAAATAAGGACTTTCCTTTCAATGGAACAGCCGCAATGGGCACAGAGCACAAAGCTTGGCCTATAACCTATCCAGATTCGGTGAGAAAGCACCCGGTGTGTGGATTCCTGACTCGCCTCTAGACCACCAAGTTCCTCAATACAGGACATGAGGAACCATGAAGGAGTCAGTGACTTGGTCCTGCCAAGTATCATATATGTTGGGCATATTACCAAGAGAGGCACCTCTTTATATTTCTGCTTCATTCTTTATGCAATTGAAACTTACTGACAAACATGGTCCTCAGCGAGCTATTATGAAATTCTTGCCTGGGGAAAGGCAGAATTTTAGAACAGTTTCTTCGTTCTCTTTTTTCTTTGTCCTCTCAACCCTACCCTCCAACCTTTTTCCTTGGAAGAACAGCGGAGAGAACTTAAAGTTCAGAGTGGTCCAGCACAGTTTCTACTCAAGTTCAAGTTCTCTAATCCCAAAAACACATATCCTCTTTACCTTACCCTTGAGTCTTGATAAAAAGGTTGATAAACTGTGGCAATATTTTAGAAAAAAAACATCAAATTCACTTTCACCACGCAACAGTAGTTTCTTTCCGACTGAATGATTAATTCACTTTTACCATGATGCTCCTTTTTTAAGATAAGAAAACTGAGGCACAACAAAAAGTGAGTAATTTTTCCCAAGACCTCAGTTTCTTTTCAGTAGCCAAGCCCATCGTGTTGGCTCCCAGACCTATGCTCAGGCCTGTGCATCGATATAAACATACAAGCATGTTAAACCCTTGCACACACATGCACACACACATAGACACCTTTCCTACCTCATCAAATCCCATCTTGTCTGGGTATTTAGGGACAACTGAGACAAACTGGGAGGGTTCCATTGGAGGACGGTCAACTGGAAGACACAAGAAACACGCAGAGGGCTTTGTTAGTACAGGTCAGAGAACAGAAATGCATCCACACGCCTGATCTCTAGGAACACAACCTGCGTGTCCAGGGCAGGGACAAGCACTCAACACCTCTCCAGGACTGAGTGGCTACACAAGAACCCTGCCAGCCAGGAGCCTGGCTTTGAGAGCACTTGTTTATATGCTGATTGCAGTATTCGCTCCATTTCCCATAAGAATTATTGTCAGATGCCCTGCCAGTGTGGCACAGTGGTTGAGTGTTGACCTATGAACCAGGAGGTCATGGTTCAATTCCCGATCAGGGGACATACTGAGTTGTGGGCTCGATCCCCAGTAGGGGGCATGCAAGAGGCAGCTGATCAATGATTCTCTCTCATCATTGATGTTTCTATCTCTCTCTCTCTCCCTCTGCCTTCCTTTCTGAAATCAGTAAAAAAAATATATTTTTAAAAAAAGACTTATTGTCAGAGCATTTAGGGCAACGGATGAGGGTGAGGGCTCTGTAGTCAGATGACCTGGGTCCAGAGTTAGGTTTGTGAAAGTCTGGAACAGTTAGGTGACTTCTCTTAGCCCCTTTCTTTGTGTGTAAAATCAAGATAATGAATGTGTATCTTTTAGGATGTTATAAAATTTAAATGTTACCGGCATGCCAGGCAGGCACAGTAAATTAACATAATAAATACTCAATAACTCTTAGCCCAGGATAACTTACTGTGGCCAATGATGAAAGGGCTCATAAATAGGCCAGACCCTCTCGGAATAATGCTTTTCCTATACAGTTAAAATGGTCAAAGCCTAGGACTATTTTTATCCCAGTCAGGCAGGGTTAGCTACAGGTACACAAAAGGTCCTTTATTTCAATACAAGCTCAGCTCCGAGGGCCAGCCCACGTCCCAGAACCTGGAACAGGGCTAACGAGGAAGTTTCCAGATGGAAGGAACATCATATCTTAACTCACAAAAGTTTTAATTATTTGAAACTAAAAAAACAAACAAAACAACTATCTTTACAAGCAATGTATGTTAAAGATGGATAGCCATGTTGTTGAAAAACCTGAGAGAGTCTTGAAGACTTTTGGTATTGCACAAATTCAAAGCACTCATTTGGTTTTTCTTAAAGAGATAACACAGAATTTAAAGTGAAAGCTGGTACATGGGTTGTTTGAAGACCTATGGGTGATGGTCCTTAATGGATGGTTCAGCAGCATCCATTCTCCTCCGTTCCAGGGACGTGAGAGAAAAACAGTTCCTCACCCTTGAAGTTAGTCAGGACCATGTGAATTCCCATTGCTCCACTCTCCAAACCCCTCCCTCCCACCCCCCAACCCAGCCCCCCACAGTGATATGGAGAAGCCACTCATTTTGGAGCATCCCACAGTGATGTACCCCACCTTATGGAGGGCGAACCGCCCAGGGGAAGACATCAGAACGAAAGCAGGACTTTGTAACAGGCCAGGCAATAGACCATTGGCTGGGTTAAAGCTGGAGGGAGATCTGGGGCACCGGTTGGATATTACCAGCCATAACTTTGCCCTC